GAGGGGCTGGAGGAAGGGGGCTACATGTGACTTATGTCCACAAAGGATTAGCTGAACCAAGCTATTTGGGAAATGAGCCTCTTATGCCTGTGTGTTCAGGTCTCTGATCTGACCCAGCTTCCTGAGGCTTTTTGTTCTGACAGCAGATTCTAGCCTAGGAGAAATTGCTCTCCCCCACCCCCAAGCTTGCCACTGAATGGAAGTAATCACAGCCTGCTAAGTACTAGGCCCTTCCTGCCTCAAGCAGGCAGAGGGCCTGAGCCCATCAGCTCCACACCCAGCAGCTGCTCTAGCATCCTCCGCCAGCCACAGCCTTCCTCTCTGTGGACAGATGTGGTGCTCAGAGAGGTGGCAACAATGTAAGCTTCTTTGCTTTTTCTGTTGCTAGTGCCAACTTCTAAGTTCCGTGCAAAGTATCCTCAGCCTGAAAATAATCCTCTCAGGGTTCTGAATCTCACCCTTGGCTGGAGTTTGGTCCTCTGGAAATTTTATCCTCCCCATATGGCTGAGGAAAGATAAGCTGTCTGGGCTGTGAACTCGGAAAGCTGGCCATGAGGACCAGCTGCCCACATCTACACTGTGGCCAGAAAGCTCCCAAGGGCCCAGAGTTTTGAATGTCTAAACTCAGCAGATGGCCAAAGCCTGGTGCTAATTGAGTCAGAGATCTGTATCTGAAGCATTTAATTCTGAGACTTCTTTTAAATATTTTCTGTCTTTGTCCCCATAGAAAAAGCACGATGCCCCTATGAACCTTGACCATCCCTGGACTCATCCTCTGCCTGTCTTCTGGTCCCTTGCTTCATCCCATTTGCTCCAACAGCATACCCCAGAATTGGCTCCTCTTCACTCTTCCAGGGTCCCCCGTGCTCCTTTTTCTAACACATGCCTTGTCAATAGCTCTTGATTTTTGAAAATTTTTCTCTTACTTTTTTTTACACTTCCCTTCATTAAAATATCAGTTTTCAAGGACAGGAATCAGTCTGCTTCCTTACCCAGCCACTTAAGGAGAAAAGATGTAGTGAAAGACACTGGGAGAAGATGCTCTCAGTGTGCCTATATTAGAAGAGCGGAGGGGTCCAGTAATGCCTCTCGGCCACGCCCACCTTTGGAGTCCTGACATGAGGTTTAGGTTTAGACAGAGAGCAAAAAGTATGCATGACCACGAAGTCATGGTCAAGGAGTAGTCTCACACATACTTGTTTCCACTCCAGTCTTCCTGGTAAGGTGGTCTGCTAAGTTGTCAGAACTGTGTGACATCTCTTTTTAGGAGACAAGTTCCTGTGACTGGCACCAGGTTCCTGACTGTTTCTTCTTCCAGCGTGCTATTTCTAGGGAATTTCCACCTTGTTGGGGACCAGTTTCAGTAGTAAAGAGATGGACACCATTGTTTCTTCAGAATATCTTCATTCCTGTCACACAGGTGGCAAGAACTTGCTAATTTTTAATTATTTGAATGAGTGGGGATGGGTATATGTGCACATGTATGTGGGCATGTTTACATCTAAGAATATACGGAGGCCAGAAAAGCGGTTTGGGTCCCTCTGAGCAAGGATTAACGGTGCTTGTGGGGTGACTGGCTTGTTATGTGGGTGATGGTGATGGGATATGTATTCTGGTCCCATGATTCTGAGGTGAGTATTCTTGGCCATTGGGTCATCTCTCTAGCCCCTACCCTATTTTTTAAAATCCATGATTCCAATTGGAACCAACTGGTTAAAAACCAAATATTATTTACCCAGTCATATGGGACTCAAACCACCTCATGTTCAGCAACCCCTGCCAATGGCATGCATTTTAATGCGGACCCAAAGCCTTCTTCCCTGCCTTTATTCTCTGCCAAAATGCCATTATTAGCAACTCTCTTAATAACGTGCTCTGAATAAACAGCCTTTTCTGGGACTCCTCCCAGTGGGCTTTGTCCTCTCCGTGCTCTGAAGCAGAGTCTTCCACTGGACAGTCTTGCCCTACATCCCGAACTTTCCAGCAGCATACAGATAATCATGCAGGAAACCAAGCCAGCTCTACAGAATGAACCCAGCCCTCATTCTTACATGTAGACAGACAGCCAACGTCACCAGACTTGGAAAACCAGCTGTGCATGAAAAAACATCAGAGAACAGAACAGAGCGACCTTGGGGGATGTGCATCTCTTAGAGACTAGAAACAAGCTTTTGAAAAAAATTTTAATTAGGTCTTCAGTGAGACTTGGGAAGATATTACACCCACAAAACCCAAAACAGCGGGCTATGAAAAACAAGGGAATGGAAAACATCTCTTGGAAATAATTAAAAATGGATTGCTGAAATGAAAAAGATTAGAAGATGAATTCAAGAAACTATCAGAATGAGTGTAAAAAAGGTAGTCTGAATGTATAGAAGAGAAAAAGCAGTTTACAAATTAACTTGGTGTAGCTAAATGGTTATGAGTGGGTACTTCTCAGCCACAATCATGGCAGAGAAGGCTGGGGCTCTAAACTGTGTGTCCAAAGTCCTTGGGCCCATATGTGTTAGCCCTGGTCAAAACAATCAGAAACTCAACAGATCACTTCTCTTTTTATGAAACCTACTACTTATCCAAAAAGCAAAAGGAAGGGAGCAGGAATCTGTCTCTCTAACCACCATGAGCTCTCCCAGGTTTACCAGCCTCACCTCTGCCTCTGTTCCCTTATTGACTTCAGCTCCACTTCATGACACTGTGGGCTAGGCTGTTCAGTGCAAACTTTGGAGCTGGGGATCGGCTGGAGATAGGGATCAGGGGGAGATGGGGGGTCAGCTGGAAATGGGGGTTGGCTAGGATTGGGAGTATAGGCGAAAGTTGTGGAATCAGCTGAGTCTAGGGTCTGCTAGAGCTGGGAGTTAGACTTGGCTGGTTTCAAACATATCTTGGCCATGTTCTAATCTGAAAAGCAGAGATAAGAGCCTTGCATCAAGGCTTCCATAAGACTCAAATGAAAGACCTGTGTGTTGCACACTTAGAGCCCTTCCTGTGTAGCAAGTGGCTGATGGATTCTGACTATTTAACAGAACTAGTCCTGTTTTCTTTACCTCAATTTTAACTCTACTTTGGTGAGTTTTACACTTATAACTAAAACCACTTTAAAAATCATTAAGTTCTTGACTGTATGAGCAAGACACCCTTAGATTCCCCATGGCCCTCCATTGTGAAGATAAAGATGAGGGTTGGGGTGTTATTGTTGGCCAGCTTTAAACTTGCAGCACATTCTGTCTCAGACTCCTTGGAGCATGCCACCATACCTGGCTCCCTGTATGGACTTGAAGGTGTATGGACTTATTCATTTATAAGCTGTTGGCAGCTCTGCTCCTTGCAGCCTCAGGGGGGCTTTGAGAACATTCTTTTTCTGTTCTCTACTAGAATTCAAGCCTTGCTTCAGGGAGGCTCTCTCAGTACCCATCTAGCTGGCTCCTTTCTTCTAGACATCCTATATACAAGTTTGTCTCCATTATTGCTCCCAGCCACCTCTACTCCCAGCTCCACACTTGGTTTTGTGATTCCAGTGTTCTCCTGGGGACACATTTGTTTCACGAATAAGCAAGCACAGGAAGAATGCAGCCTGAGTTTATTAATGAACAGAGTTTGCTTCAGACAAGAACTAGCAGTCTTGAGAAAATCACCTGCTCTGTCTCTTTGACACACACACACACACACACACACACACACACACACACACACACACACACACACAGTGATAGGGAAGCCACCATCTAGTTCTGGGAGGGGTCAGCTCCAGGATCTCGAAGATTCATCTCAGATGGGTGCTGTGAGCCCTACTCACAGGAAAGACTAGAAGCCAGTAGCCCTTCTACAGTATTTCTGTCTCATACTGTTGGATACTACTCTTAATGGGACTCCTGACTTTCCCTCCTTTCTTTTCTTTTCTGCAAACTAAATCATCTTTTATAATGTTGGGGTTCGGGATTTATCTCAGAGGTGGAGCATGTGCCTAGCAAGCCTAAGGCCCTAGGTTCAATCCTCAACACTGGGGGAAAAGACAATTATCAGAGAGCAGAAAATTAGCTTGGAGCTCAAGGGTCCAAAATTCAATACCAGAATGTTATGACTATAGAATAAGAGGAAGAGGGGGCTAGGACATGGCTCAGTTGGGAGAGTGCTTGCATAGCATATATAGGACCCTGGGTTAGCTCCAGAGTACCACATGAAACCAGTGGTAATGGCTGTTGTAATTTTTTAAAAATCCAGCTTGAGAGAGAAGGACACCATTTGACAGAGTTTGAGCAGATGGGTTTTTTATTAAGAGGAAAGGATTGTAAAAAGGGGAAAGAGGAGTGGAGAGACTGGCCTATGGGGACAGGTGCAGCAGGAGAGAGAGAGAGAGAGAGAGAGAGAGAGAGAGAGAGAGAGAACAGAGAGAGAGAAAAAAGAGAGAGAGGGATGGGAGGTGGCAGGGCCCTTTTAAAAGAGAACATAATGAATGGGTGGTGCTCTTAGTGGCAGCAGCTGAGGTATATCTTGTCAGAACTCCAAAGGCAGACCAGTACAAATACCTAAATACTGACGGTGGCATATGTGTATAATCCCAGCAACTACAAGGTGGAGGCAAGGAGACCGGAAGTTTAAGGTCACCCTTGAGTTCTAGGATAACCTGGGATGTGAGTCTTTTTGAAGAAACGGGGCAGGGGGAGGGAGGAAAGGTATGAGCACACACATGTGCACGTGCACACGTGCACACACATACACACACAGTGTGAGACAGCCACATTCCAAATGGCCAATTAATATTGAAAATTCTCATCCTCATTAGTAGTCAATGAAATTAAAATCTTAATGAGGACAAATCAGCTCCCTCTTTATATGTCTTAGGTTGGTACCCATAGGACTAGAACAGAGCGGCACATGGAGAGGAGAGTTTCCCTATCATTTTATTGAAGGTACCATGATAGGGCAGGTATCTTGGCTCTCAACATTGTCTCTGTTACACAAAAAAGATGGGTATCACATGATAACAAGTGCCTGGAGTCCTATAGTAATGCCCATTCCTAATGGCAGGAATAACAAGTCACCTTAGACTGCTAGGTACCAGTTGGGTACCAGGCTAGTGGAGGCAGGGTCAAGCAGTAGAGGGGACCCTGGGTGGCATGGGAAGTTCTGGCACCAGCCTGCTCCCACCCTGAATAGCCTGAGGATGGAAATGGCCATGGCTCAGAAGAATCAGGGAATGTGGGTGGGAGAGGGACCCTCAGGAATGGAGCAGCAGATACAGAGAGAAGGATGTAAGGGTGTAAGAAAGCTTCCAGGCTGAGGCAGAGTTGGCAAAGTGGAGGGCCACTTCCACATTGGGGTTGCCCTGAGTGGGCTCAAACCACTTCTGTAGACACCGTCCACTATTCCTGTGTTCAGGGCTGGCCTTGAATGTGTTGCTCCAAATCTTCTCACACAGATCACTGGGGGTGGGGAAGTAATCTGGGAAAGGGCGGCAGGGCGCCTGTGCTGGGCAGTGGTTCTTCTCTGTGGGGGTCGACGATGGTGTCCTCATTTCCCATTGTCCCATCCCTTCCATGCCCCCATCATTGTGGGGGGACATAAGAAGGTTTGTGTCCTCACCCAGGTAAACAGCCCCCGAGAACCCAGTCAGTGCACTCACCTTGACTGGAGTGGAAGCTGCTATGCCAGTTGGATTTGCAAGTGTAGGATGAGCGGCAATCTTCCCACCATTCCTCACAATCCTCCAGGCACAGGGGCACGCCCTGAACCTGCTCTTCCTGCCTGTTTGGGACCACCTGGGTGCAGATGAGAGAGAGGAAGATACCCAATCCTTTATAAAGGTCCCTGAGTACTATTCTTTCTGTGTGTGTGCACGTGTGTACATTCTGTAAGTGAATGTGCGTGTGTAGGCTGGAGGACAACCTCAAGTGTTGTTATTCAGGCACCATCCATGTTGGTTTAGAGAGAGTTTCTCACTGGCCCAGAGCTCACTGAGCAGGGTAGGCTGGCTGGCTAGCAAGCCCCAGGAATCCATCTGTCTCTGCTCCCTAGGGCTGAGATTATAACAGTTCACCTCCATACCTCGGGTGCTCATGCTTGTGTGGCAAGTGCTTAATGACTGAGCCATTTCCCAGCCGTAGGTTGTTGTTGTTGTTATTATTATTATTATTATTACTATTAGATAAATGAGAACTATGAAGTGAGTGGCTATTTGTCCCGGGCTACACAGTTTGTAAGTAGGAGATGGAATTCACTCAGATGCACCTCATTCCACCCTTCATCCTGCCGCCCGCATCAGACAGTGTCCCCATGCTGTCCTTCAGGGACAGAGGCAGCTAGCTCCCTCTTCATCCTTTCCCAGGGCTCTGGCTCTGCTCTTATCCCTAGAGGGACAGCCATCTCCCTATTCCTGCTGGCCTCCTGGAGATGCCAGCCTTTGATTAATGGAAGGCTGTTGCAGGGATTTGCCTCCTGTCTCCTCACCAGCTGGATCCAAGGCCCCAGGTTAGGGGAACACTCGTGAAGGCAGACGGCCTGGATGAAGTGCTTATGACAGACCGGGGTCAGCAGTCCACAGTGCAACATGCTGAAGTTAAAGAACAGGAGCTCATCCAGGTGGGCTTCCCAGCTCGTGGTGAATGTGCAGCAGGCATTGTCCTTCCAGGGGACGCACTGAAGGTGGAGGGAGAAAGAGGCTAGGGTTGAGGATCTTGGGCAGAAGGGTGTCAGAAGAGAGGACACATTGAGCACCTCTGTAGAGGAGGGACCTTGGTGTCTGTCAACATGTATCTGAAGAATGGGAAACACCTGACCCCTGGTCCCCTCCCCTTTGTCTTTCTGCCACAGAACATAGTTTCCTGATGTCAGCTCCAGGGAGGCAATAAATCCAGGAAAGCAAATAGAAAGAAGTCCCAGGGAGCTTCAGGAGTCCGAGGTTATGATGATGGGTAGGAGCAACTTAGAGTTGAAATGTTCCTCCTCCCATAGCTCTGTAATTGCCTTTAGCAGACTGAGAAGGAATCAAATTGAGTCCTATGTCTAGCCAGTGCATGTTGTCAGGAAGGCTTGCACTGACCCATGATTAGCCAACAGGGCCTCCGAGATCACCACATAGCCTGTTTCCCAGGTGGCCAGATCAGCTAAGGGGCCAAATCCTGGATGAAGAAACCCAAACTAAGGAACTAAATGATCAGGGCTGATGGGGTCCAGGGGCCTCCTTGCCTGTATCCTTCTCTAATAATTCTAAGAAGCTACCTTAGCCCCTGGGCCAGCTCTGGTCCCTGTACCTCCAAGAAGAGCTTGTCTTCTGGGCCAGGCTCTCGCTTGTGGTGCTTGGCATTCATGCAGATGTTGACTGGCTTGTCTCCTGTCACAGTGGACATGACTGTCCACAATCCCAAGAGTATCTGCCACCACTGTGCCATGACCTGCTTCAGAGAAGATCCTGTGATAGAAGACACCCACCTTAATCCCTGCACACATCAGGCACTAAAGATGGAGTCGGGGCTCCAAGGCTCCCTCAGGTTGCTGGAACACTTTGGCTGCTCTAGAACCTTCTGTGTAGAGCAGCATCAGAGAGTGTCAAGGCAGGTAGACACCCCACTACCAGCCGTTGCAGAGATGCAGAAACCAAACCAAGCAACAAGAGGAGAGAAAAGAAAACAACAGCTCTGAAGAGGAGGGCAGGTAGGGAATGGTACCAAGTCCTTCTACACTTAGACACAGCTTTGCTAACTCAGTAATGCATAGTCTAGGAGTTTAGAGCTTTGGTCCCAGCCCACAGCCAGCCTCTTGACCAAGTAACCAATTCTCAGAAAGCAGATTCTCCTTGTGGCCAAAGGACATGGTGGGGTGGGGTGGCCAATCAAGCCTTAGCCATCGAGTACCAACCTTCTTTCTAGTCCCCAGGAGGGTCCACACCAGGCCCACAGCTCCTCAGAGTAGCTTGTCCCCACCCTGTCTGTCCAACTAAAGTCATTTCCTTAGAGTAGTATCCCACTTCAACCAGCCCCAGTTTATCTCAAAGCCACCCTAAGCATCAGGATGGGCCCCCTGATGGCCTCTCAGAGCTGGGGACCCTTCAGGAATGAGGTTTTGAGGTGCCTTATCCTCTAAGCCCTCACCCTAGCACAGGTACATGAAAGCTGGCCTGTACCTTGGTGTCTGTTACATTGCAATTCCAGTTCTCTTCTGGGTTGTACTGGCAATGTATGAGGTGGGGGTAGGGAGTGGACAGAGAGATCCCCCTCTGCCAAAGCAAAGGGGCACCCTGCTTTAGGAATTCACCATTCAGTCTTTACCACCCAGGGCCTCACAGATCCTCTGTCCCCTAGGCCTAGTGGAAACCTGCCTTAGAGATAGGCAGTCTAGCCTGAGTTGAGCACCTCAGACATCCTAGGGATCGGAGACCCAGACTCCACTGAGGAACCCATCCTCAAGTTTAAACCCAAGGATGTTCTCCCCCACAGCTCCAGCTCCATGTTTGTACAGAGAACAACTATTCTCAAAACCTAGGAAGTTAAGATGGAGAAAGGAAGATGCCAACCCTTTCAGCCTTCTCTTCAGACTCACATTCAAGGCAGGGCCCTCCTGGTGCTCCTTCCAGCCCAACAGAGGCGAACAGGCTGACAGCACCTCACCTGATGCCCCTTTAACACCTTTCAGTCTCGACGAGATACAGGTGAAGAGAGCAGCAAGTGGCCGGAGCTGAGCAGCCTTTGTGCATCCAAGAGTTTGTCTCGGAAAGAAGCAATCTTGCTGCACCAGATATCCCTGCAGTTGGCGGCAAGTTCAACTCTCAGCATTACCTCTAACCCGTGAGAACTTGGGAATAACAGATTCCCGGCCGGCAGCTCTGTGTAACAGCTGTTGACTGGGACTATTGGGAAAGAGAGGTCACGCAAAGGTCTTGGCACAGGGAAGTCCTAACCGCTTTCATTCTCGTCTTTTGTTCTCTGAAGCTCTTTCTCTCCTATATTCTGTTCCACCTGTCTCTTCCTCCACTCAGCCACCTGATGCCCTGAGTAACAGTGTCCTCTAGCACCATTAGGTGCCAGGTCCACAGCACACAGGATGCAGACACAGGCAGAGTCTTGGAGACTCAAGGATTTAAGCAACAAAACTGAAACAAAAGCCACCCCTCAGCAGGCGCAGGGGCAGCCTGCATTTGCACACAGTGTGTGGTCTGTGACCTCGGCTTCAAAGGCCCCACTAGGGGTGATGCCCATATCTTTGCTTGTGTCTTATGTTCTGTCTCCAAAGAAGAAGTAGCCAATGTCACTGGCTTTATACTAAATAAATAATATTAAAAACAGTCATGTTTTCCAGCGAGGAAGACAAAATACAGTGCTTGATGTTCAGCTGCCAGTCAGTATACATGTGTGGAGGGGGTGGGGGATGGGAGGTGGCATTTTCCACACCTGAGTACTGAGTACTGGGCATCCACCAGGACTAGTCATGGGGCTGGAGGCTAAGGCATTGGCACGAAGCCTAACTTACTGCCTGCAATAATCCCCCAAATGAGCACTCTCTTTCAGAGGTAGGTAGGGGAAACTGAGGCACAGAGAATGAACTGGGATCTGAACTAGGCTTGTTTAACTTCATAGATAATGCTTATGAACCAGGTAAGGGGGATACCTACAGGACTGATGGGTAGGAACTGTCCAGGCTTTGAGTCTTCTTAAAAAAAAAAAAAAAAAAAAAAAGTCGAGTAACAGTCATATTGTGTATGTGTGGGAGGTGTATGCCGGGTCTTTTGGGGAGGGGAGGGGGCAGTGTGGTCACTAACCCGACTTCCACATACTGTCTTCAGCAGAGCTGAGAGTCCCTTCTTGAAGTCAGATACCACATGGAAAGGCATTTCTGCCATGTGGATCTCTGTATCGGTGTCCACAGGGACAGGAGAGGCAGGCACTCATGTCCTTTTCTTCGTAGACAGCCAGAGAGCAGCAGCTTTGACAAGCAAAAGATTGGTGTTGAACATTGTTTTAAATGGCTGTGGATGTGGCAAGAGCAAGAATCCAGAAATGAGTCACACAAGTCATTACTGAAATGGAAAACTGCCCTCCACAGGGAGGGGGAGGGACAAGGAGGAACTGGTTAGCCACCTCCAGGACAAAGATGTAGGAAATGAGTCCAAATTATAGCCAGTGAGGATGCAGGTGGAGGGAGGGAGGAGTGATTGCAGAGGCTGCCTTTCGAGAGAGCCATCAGCCCTGGCATCTGTCCTTAGAGAAGCAGTTTGAGGTCCTTGAGCAGAACTCATTTTGCCTTATTGTGGCTGAGTCTTCCAGAGAAATCTGTTTTCTGACTGAAGGCTGCTAAATCCGCTGGCTGAGGATGGAGCAGCCACTAGAAAGCACCTGAAAACAAAAACAGAACAATTATCTGGCTAGGGGAGAGGTGTGGGACACACACACACACACACACACACACACACACACACACACACACACACACACACATACACACGTGCAAACTTGAGATGGACATGGTGGATACACACACAAACACACACACACACACACACACACACACACACACACACACACACACACACACACACACACTACATGGACATGGTGGATGGAGTGACCTGAAGTCTCTTGGGAACTCAGGGTTCTTGTTCCTGAGCATCCCCCTCATCCCCTAAATAATCAAAGATCTTTTACAAGTCTGTAACCTGGGCAGAGGGCAGCATGCCACTCACTCTCCTCTGTCCATCCAAATGCTGTGGTGTTGATTTACCCTCCTGAGTACCTCTGCTTCTCCATCAGCTGGGGTCATGCTTGGGTACCGCAACCCTGCTCCCTGGCTCCCTCCAAGGTAATATCCATGCAGCATCTGGGATGATAAAACTCCCCAGGGCTTTATTACAAACCTTCCAAACATAAGGAAAGTTGAGAGGATTTTACAGTGAGTCCTCACCTCCCACTTGGCTTTTGCCAAGTGGAGGGGTATTTTTTTGAACCAACCTTGCATCAGGTTCTTGAGGAATCAGTCCCATGAGCATCTCAAAGAAAGAAATTTGTGTTCTCCTGAATAATTCAGCCACATCCCTCCACTGACATTCCACTCTTCCCAACTCCTCACACCCTGCTGCACTCAGCTTCTCTCCCACGCAATCTGATTTCATGTGCTAGTTAATGGATCCCTTCCTCTAGTCCCCTGGGCCAGCAGCCTATAGATACTATGGGCTCTTCTTCTCCCACTGCATGTGTTTTAACATAGCAATGCAAGGTCACAGTTGTCCTTTTTCTTTTATCTAGAATGAGCCTTCAAAAATGTAAAGATGGTTGCCATACTCTCATATTTAAAATTTTTGCATACATTAAGATCAGTCTCCATGGTACATGGGCCCTTTTAAATCTTGTCCCAATTTACTTTTCGGTGCTAATCCATGGTCCTTTTTTTTTAAAAAAAAAAATTCAATTTACTATTGTGTTTGTGTGTGTGATATGGATGAGTGTGCTCGGATGTGTGTCTAGGTCAGAGGACAACTTGTAAAGTCGGTTCTCTCCTTCCACCTCTTCTTGGGTTTCATGGATTGAACTCAGGTCGCCAGGCTTCATGGCAGACACTTGTATCCTCTGAGCTATCCTGCCAGCCGCTGGTCCTTTCTTTGCCCACATCTCATGGTATTTGATTATTGAAATCTGCAACTGCCCAATTCCTAAAAGGTGGCTTCTCAGCAAGGCTCACTCTCAACCTCAGTGTCTGGGGACCCCCCTCTTATTTCTGGCTTCCAGAAGGGACAGCTTGCCCCTGCCAGCCAGGAAGCTCCATGGTCCCCGTGGGTTGGGGAGATGTTCTTTTGAGTCTACCATCTCCTTCTATAGCTCTGTCCTCACAGCTGCCTTCTGCCACCATGAACACCAACCACAGCCTCGCTTACCTCTTGTCTGGATTCAGTCAGACAGACACAAGCCTGGCATTGATTCAGACAGCTCCCTACTTTAATATGACCTACCCTGCTTCCCTTCGACTCTCTCTCCTTCGCTCCCTCCCGCTTTCCTTGTAGTCTGAGCCATCCTTTCCCCCTCAGTTTAAAGTGACCTCTCCTGTCTTTTCTTATCTTCTTTCCCCCCTTTCTCATTTAATTCAGACTATGAGACAACTTATTTACTGAAAAAAATTTTTTTGAAGTACTAAGGATTGAATTGAGAGTCTTTCTGTGTTCCACCATTGAGCTGTGCCCCAGCCTCCTTTGTCTACCCTCTTCCTTTTCATGCCCTCTTCCTTCCGGTCTTTCTCTGTTCCCATTCTCCTCTCTCCTTTTCCCCTGATTCATCATGACTACTCTCATCTCACCTCCCCTTACTCTCCCCCTTCTCCTCCTTCCCTCCCACACTCTCATTCTCTGATGATGGCTGAGATTTCTGGCTGTTTAATGCTGGGCCTCTCATCACCACTTGAAAAAGGCTAC